GAGGGGCCCTTGGCCTGATCCAGCACAGGGCTCTTCTTATATGTTCTTGTCTCTCCAGGGAACATACCGGATTATAATTCCTTCACAAATGTTGACCTCATGGGCCCCACCAATGTGTTTGTTTTTACTGGGCACTCAGGGCTTTTAAAGGTTTAAAAAACACGACTAATCCGAGGTGTGCATGTTGGTGTGTTTCTTTGGACTGCAATTCCCAGAATTCCCTTTGCTGCCTGGGCGATTCTGGGAGTTTAAGAGTAAAATCCAACGAGGTACGCCTCTATGATGAAGCCTTCCGGGCAAATGAATGAAAGCCAAAATTCCATATTCTCCCCAGCCAACTTGAGGAAACCGTATGGTTGGCACATTCTGGGTAAACTGGAGTCTTTTATTTTGGAGGATTAAACCTTTTCAGAAAATTATCCCAGTGATACTAGTTTGGCTTAAAATAAATCCAGGTCCCTTGACTGAGCTGGCATTTCGGTGTGTCATCCCTTTCAAAAACCCTTAGATGACAATTGCATATCTGATCTTAATTAGTAACCCATAACCTGAATTATGTACAGTAGGTAATTTCCTTCTGATGCTCGGTAAATGTACCTTTCCCCCCACTTCTCTGGGAGTTATAATAATAATAATAAAAATACCTTTTCCAAGCTCTGCCTTCACTCCCTCTACTTAGAAATCGCTCGTGTCAGTTCAGTAATTTTTGCACCCAACATATTTACTTTTCAATGAAAAGTACGGATGCTCAATATTGGCTATGAAGGCCAGCACAGAGCTCCAGAGATTGCATCTAGCCACTTCCCCCCCAGATTTTCGAGCACAGGCTGTACCTAAGCTATGATCAGGAAATTTATTCCATTCATCTCAAAGAAAAAAAAAGCAGAAACAAATAATCACATATTCAATATACTGAATGTGGCATTTGTTCATTCAGCATTTTGAATACAATATAACTAAATTCCACACCCATTGTAATACAGTAGGACTCCCCCTTTCGTGGCATCCATATCCAGAGATCTGCTTATCCACTGCCTGAAAATATTCAATAAATTTTAATTAAATATGAAATTAAAAACCCAGAAAAACTGGCCACTAGAGGGAGCCAGAGACCATAATCTGCATAGTGTTTGCCATTTCTGCGTTTTTCGGTATACACAGGGTGTGGCTGGTGTCTTGGAACTGATCCTCCACTGATACCACAGTCCTAAGACTCTTCTCATGGCAAACTAGCAAGCTTGGTATGCTTTCTGTGGACTTTCCGCAGCCCACGAAAGCTTAGTCAAATGTGTCTGTCTTGAAGATGCCACAGAACTGTTTTCAAACAAAAGCTGTATTCGTCCGACTCAACCTAACAAAAAACAATTTTTGCAGTACCTTCTATATTAATGGATTTATTTGGACTTTCCTGAACTACAATCCACAATTCTTTTTGTTTTTACCCCCAATCTGGCATGGAGATAAGCTCTGTGAACCCGCTCGCCATTTCAGGTGGATTAGATCTCTTAAAGAGATCCTTTAAGGTGGCTTTCTTTTTGTTGGTTTATTGCTATTAATTGCAATAAATTGCAAGAGACGAACCACAGCGGCTGTGGACGGAGATACAGTGGTGCCTCGCATAGCGATGATAATCCGTTCCGGATAAATCAACGCTATCCGGAAACATCGCTATGGGGGGGAAAAACCATAGGAATGCATTAAACTCTGTTTAATGCGTTCCTATGGGGGATAAACTCACCGCTACGCGGGAATCCTCCATAGGGCCGCCATTTTCGCCCCCTAGGTAAGCGAGGGCAGGGCGTGAAAACAGAGCAGGCAGCCATTTCTTTCGGTGGCCATTTTGGAACCGCCGATGAGCTGTTTTTAGAACATCGCAATGCGAGTTCTTGCCTATATAAACATCGCAATGCGATCGCTTTTGCGATCGCTATGCGAGGCACCACTGTAGCTCCTTTCCACAGCAAGTAGAGAAGGACCTTGGGCTGGGAACTACAGGTCTGGAAGAATCCGGGGTTCTAATTCTTACTGGCTTTGATGGGGTTACACTCCCCCTAAAGGATTTGCTTTGCAGCTTGGGGTTACTCTTGAGGCCAGGTCTCTCCATTTTTGTTGTAACTAAGAGTGCCTGTTATCAGCTTTGGGTGATTGACCAGGTACACCCCTACCTGGATAAGAAATGACTAGCAGCAAGAGTTGGTAATCTCAAACATAGACTACTATAAATGCTCTCTACATGGGGCTGTCCTTGAAACCTGCACAGACACTTCAACAGGTCCAAAATGCGGTGGCCAGATTGAATACACGAACCAGCAAATAGAAACATATACCTTCAGCCTTGGCATGCCTTCACTGGCTCCTTGTTAGCTTCCATGCTCAATTCCTCTGACACTGTTGTTTAATTGTTAAGCTGTGTCAGACTCCTCGTGACCCCATGGACCAGAGCACGCCAGGCCCTCCTGTCTTCCACTGCCTCCTGGAGTTCTGTCAATTTCATGTTGGTTGCTTTGATGACACTGTCCAACCGTCTCGTCCTCTGTCATCCCCTTCTCCTCCTGCCTTCACTTTCCCAACATCAGGGTCTTTTCCCTGGAGTCTTCTCTTCTCGTGAGATGGCCAAAATCTTGGAGCCTCAGCTTCAGGATCTGTCCTTCCAGTGAGCACTCAGGGTTGATTTCCTTCAGAATGGATAGGCTGGTTCTCCTTGCAGTCCGGGGGACTCTCAAGAGTCTCCTCCAGCACCACACTTCAAAAGCATCAATTCTTTGGTGGTCAGCCTTCTTTGTGGTCCAGCTCTCACTTCCATACATCACTACTGGAAAAACCATAGCTTTGACTATGCGGACCTTTGTTGGCAAGGTGATGTCCTTTGACCCACAACACTCTTAAAGTTTTAGGACTTCCAACATTTGGCGAAACATCTCTCCCACAAAACAGCTACCTGTCCAACATGCTCCTCCCAGTCCCAAGAAGACCAAAAGGCCAATGCTAAGAACTGGGCTTTCTCCGTTGTGGTCCCTTTCCTCTGGAACAAGCTTCGGACAGACATTCACGGGGCACCCTTCCTCCCTCTGTTAAGGATGCTAGAGAGGACCATGTCCTATAAAGCTACCTTCTGCTAGTAGTGGGTATTGTCTTGAGATGGTCAATTGGCCTTTCGGTTGTGTGTTTTTATTTAAAGGCGATTTTTAGCTAGTGACAGGGTTTGTTGTATTTGATTTGTATTCATTATGTAGTGTTTTAGTATATCATTTTATTTTATATAGTGAGCGGCTTAGAGAGCGACAACACTCACGGGGCAGTATAAAAATGGAAATAAAATAGACCAAAATAAAAATCTTTTGGTTCTGCTGCAGGAGATAAACACGGTTTCCCTACCAGACATTTTAAAATGAAAAATTTTAACTGAAGAATTCCAAATTCAAGCACTTCAGCCACTGATGTCTCTGAATGGCTTAAAACCCTCTAACGGTGAACTGCGAAACACTAAATCCCATGTCATATAGTCTTTCAGACACGGTCAGGTAAGACATTACCGGTCCGCAGCTTGGCTGAAGAACTTTGAGGTCCTAGCCACTGGAAGTTTGGTTAATTTCTTGATTAAATCTGCATATACTTGCACAATTTCTCAAGGAACTAGCATATTTGCTCTTTTTTTGATGACGTGCCCACGCCATGGAAGAAACACCTTAACACAGAGATCCCCAACCCCCAGTCCGCGGCCCGATGCCGGTCCGTGGCCCGAGCGCTAAAACGTCATGAGCGTTGGCGCCAGACGACACTGACTCGGGAGGGCGTTCCATAGTCTGGGGGCAGCTGCCGAAAAGGCCCTTTGCCTACCAGCTGTCCTTCTTACCTCCTTGAGGGACGGCTCCTTCAAAAGGGACCCCCTGGCTAGATCTGAATGGCTGGGATGTCCTTCTCCAGGATCAGGACCCTACGTGGGGTCCCTTCTCTGCTCTACCTCTGGATGCCCCCTCCATGGCTCCCCCCCTGTAAAGACACCCCCCCCTCCTGCCCTTCTGGCGCTTTGCCTCCATCGGTGCTGGACGTTGTGCTGGACCGGAGTGCAAGGGGCGTAAATCCCCAACGGCCTCAGCATCCAGAGGTTTAAAGCATCTAGAGGTGTTACGTTCAGAGGTTCAGCAGAGAACGACGGACATTAAGGAGACCTGCAAAGAGGTGTCTAAAACAATGGCAAGGGAAAAAAAAGGAAAGTCTTGACAAGAAAGCCCATCTCAGTGGTGGTGTTACACGCCGTCCAGCCAACCTCCTGAGTTATGGTGACCCCAGGATGAGCGATCTCCAATATATCCTGTCCTCAACAGTTTACCTGTTCAGCACAGGTAAACTCAAAAGCCTGTGGCTTCCTTGAGGGAGTCAGTCTATCTCATATTCCGTCTTCCTCTTTTCCTGCTGCCTTCCAACTTTCCTGCCATTACAGTCTTGCCCAGTGAACCCTGACGCCTCATGATGTGCCCATATAGGACAGCCTGGAAAGGTGGACTGCGCTGGGTTGGGGTGGGGAGGGGGGATTCTGGGAGTTGTAGTCCACACCAGTTTCCTCCCCGCACTCTGTAAATCCCCACCCCGGTTCTCCCCAACTCTAGAAAGCCGGCGAAGGCGATCTTCTGCCCTCCCAGAAGGAAACCATCGACAGCGCAGTTGGGGCGTGCTTGCAACGAACGTCTGAAAGGGTCGCGCACGGAGCTGCGGGCAAGACTCCCGCTTCAAGCGAGAAGGCTCCGCGGTTCCCAACGGCGTTCGCCGCTTGAAAGAAAGAAAGAAAGGACGGAAGAAAG